AGTTATGCTGTGGCATGTCGAACTAGGCTAGTGGAGGCTGTTCAGTCGGGGTTCATGTAGTTTGGCAAGCGCTGCTATTTCCGGTCCGTACAACAAGACCGAACCGACAGATGCACGGTAAGCGAGATCTCGGTGGCAACTATTTTTCCCTTTCCATTTTAAATTTTTGAAAGGCGTTTTAAGGTGAACGAAGTCAGCGCTGTCCTACTGTCTGGATCTGGATCACAGTCGCCATTGCTGACAATAACGGCGCTGAGGTACTTAAAGTACTTATTCAACGGCGCTACTTAATAATATATCATCTTCGGTTCCACTATATAATCTGGATTCCTGATCCCTTTTGTTTTTGTAGGATTAAGCTGGAGGCCCACTTTAGCTACATTTGTGTATATCGCTTCAGTAACCGAGTGAAGGTAGTCGTCGTTGTTGCCCTGTAAAGCAATGTCGCCGGCGTATTCCAGTTCCATAAGGTATTTTAAGGCATCTTGAGCTTCATCTCCATTTCAGCAGGAAATCAATCGTTGCTTTGCTGCTCCGTGCCATTTCGTATAATGTGATCTACTCAAACGTTGAATAGCAGACCTGTCTAACGCCGTTCCTGGTCTCGAACCAATCTGAAATCGGTCTTTTAACTTTAACCGTGTTAATCGTCTCACCGTACATGGGCGCCATTATTGTAACGGTCTTCCGTAGAATACCGAAGTCACGCACCATATTCCACACTGTTAAGCAGTTTCTATCTTCAAAGCAGCTAGGCTGAATGTAAAGTTAAGTTCGTCTGGCGCGGTGGTACAGTGATACGATGCTGGTTTCGACCTTCGGTGGTGCTGGATTCAAATCCAGAAAAAAACATTAGCATTAACCGCTAATTCCTGTCAGCAAGAAATTCGCCAAATTTTGCCTCGATGCAAACAGCCAAGAAACATGCAGCAAGAAGTTTAACCTGCGAACAACGCGAACAGTATGATCTAATGGTGTCGTCATACCAGAATGAGCTAGAAGTACGATACCGCTGTCTGATACGAACGCTTCTCACGCCAGCAGTTCGCCTTGACCATGTGATAGCTGATTATGCAGAACGAATATCAGCAAAAGATGTTAAACCCTACCGCTGGTGTCTGGAAGAAAAGGCTTGAAACGAACGACGATGAAGGGTTTTCTGATTCTCTGAATGTACTGTATGTACTTAAAATTTCCAACGTCATAACTGAAGTATGGTTTTAGGCAAAGACCCATAAACTACTGAACAACAAAACGCTACTATAACATCAAATTTTACTTTCCTGTGAAGTAAATCATAATTATTCCTGCGTTATGTATCGTATAAAAATTTGATGACCATGCTCATATTAATATCAGGCGAGGTTACCAACTTGTCAAAGATCATAAATCTGAATCTTAATATTTTGCCAGACGCGATCTCTAAAAGTTCGGCGCTTATTCTCGTACAGAGAATGAAGAAAAAACAAAAGCAATATGATCAATTAACGTTCAGTAATGGCAGGTGAGTAAAAAACTTACGTTGAGCTAACTTGGAGAAACGACGGCTGCAGAAACCGACGAGCGCATTTCGACTGATTTCTTCTCGTCATTGGATTGATGTAAAGGTACGACCAGTTACAGTGTTCCTTAGCTCTCGTGATCCAGTTGTAAACGCTAAGTGCACTCGGGTACAGATCCAACTGGTCCCCCGTGTAGTTCTTGAGCAAAATGTTCACGTTCTCAGTCAGGGCATAGTTGTTCTGCTTTTGAATCGTCGTAGCACATTTGTCCAAAAGCCTAAAGCTGAAGCACTAACGAAGAAGTTTCGTGAGAAAAAGCAAACTTTACTCAAAATTGTCAAGAACATTCTGCAGCTTTTTCTTCAGTTCATTACTGAAAGTGGCTTCATCCGTCAACAGCCTGCCTTCTTTATCCGATGGCGTCAATTCCAGATATTCAAAAATATCGCAAACACTAAGTCTCAAATGCCGTATAACCTTCAGTCCTCCAGCAGCTGTCCCTTCAAATGAAGACGGCTCCTGCACCATTACACTAGAGCTTCTTCAAAAAACCGTACCCGTTGCCCGAAAGTGGCTAAAACATTTACAAGCATCAAACCAAAATCCAATTATAAAACACGCTAACCACAATAAAACTTTAAATCGTGCAATCCATAGCAGCATTTATGTAATGTATGCATCATTTTGAAACTAGATTAGCACAAAACGTACTGCATTAAAAGCAATGAATGACCCGTGCAGAACATATGAAAATGATGTTCCAATCGCGCAGCTTCGTCAGAACAAAGGACATGAATCTCTGACGATTAACTGCATTAAAGTTTGACATATTAGTGAAATTAGGGCAATCGCTGTTATTAGCGTATGGTGGCACAATGGCAAAGAGGTCGGCTTTGAACTCCACGTGCAAGAATCGAATCCGCATGAACGACAACAATCATCATATCTGAGAATTCCCTTTTGCAAGGAGTTAACCCCTCGATGGTTAGGCGCGATCAGTTGGTTACGAAAAATAGGAACAGCAGCATACTCTGGTCTCACCATGTCAGAGTAGACGAAGTGAATGATCATAACTATCAAATGCGAGAGTCCCTTCTGGCTGCATTTTCCCGTGACCCACTTGATAACCCATTATCAAGTGAAATTATCAACACAGGTGCAACCCGGATTCAGGTTTTCAAGTTTACACAAATACTAACTCATAAGAGAATAGCAGCATCAGGAAGCTAACAGACCGTAATTAGTTGTGATTTGCTAAATTTGTTCCTCTAACTCCAGAAAGTTCGAACGGATATTTCGAATATTTATAGTAAGCTAATCGACCATCAGGTTCTCATAGAGTAGAAATTACTACGTGCTACTACAAGAGATGTTACACGTCATTCATTCAGTGACCCGGCTCCACGTAGCCAGCTGAACTTTGAAGCACTCCGAAAACGTATGCAACACAGTATATCTGAACTATTCCATAAATATTTTATTTCAGGCAAATGAAAGTTTGCGCGACGCAGCTGTCAGATTCAACAATATTGACCAGTTTATTCGCTCTACCGGTACAATAAAACTATCAATCTTCAGTTTAATCAGTTTCATTGACACTGTTTTTCGTTCATGGAATTCGAAACTTTTCAAAGAGTTGATTGCTGTCATTGACAGGATCTGGCAGCATTCTTTTCAAGGATGAAACTATAAAAATTTTGATGAATACAGTTTTAGCGCAGATATTTGCGTAGGATGATTGCGTGATCAATGTGTCAGAGAGGTTCTGAAAAATGAACTTATATTAAGGGTTGAATTAGTCGCTAATAATTGTTTCTGTCACGGTCTGTGGATGCCATGATTTTTTGTCAATGAAAAATATAAGCAATACTTGAAACTTAATGATACCTTGAAAGGACAAAAGTTACAGGGACCTTCTGTGCCATAAGAAATGTTTCTGAAGGATAAGGGAAAGAAAACTGGCGCAGTACAAGATATCAAAAACATGGAACTTTGACGAAATGATTTTCTAACTATTCGATGCGTACAAGTTTCGAAGTCATCAGGCATAACTGGAGAAATGCCTAGTTCTGTTCAGTTTATGGTCAACATGCCGGTCCAGCTAAGTGGGCTAGTGATCATGAATTCAAATATTTTATCGTTGAACAGGCCCTTAAACTTATGATGATACGATCTAATTCAGCTTAAGTTAAATACGGTCTAAGCAAGTCACTCTCCTAAGGTGCTTCATCGCAAATGTACATTCGATTAATATCCCCTGTTTCATTTCCCACAAAGTGGTATTTGTTCATCATTTTTTTGTTTTGGGATGGGACTGTTATACTCTGCAGTGACGCTTTCGTTCTTCAAAACATTGCTCAACGTCGCCGACAACTCCAGCTTTATGCACAGCTGCTATCTCCATATGAGTCACATTTGAATCTGTGCATTGTACAACAACATACAAAGCCTCAGTGCTCTGTGCCAACCATGCAGAATGCCTTATTACCTCGGGCCCATATTGCAGAAGATGAATAAAAGACAGGTACACCATTCAGTGCAGAAATATAGCTAAATGTTTCCGCATGAAATGTGGAATCGGACGTAGAGACGTATTTTCAGTTCTGCTATTCAATAGTGATTGCGGCACTGTGACGCAGCAGCAAAGAAATCGGCATTTGAAAATGCTGCGTTCGAATAACTTATGAAATGATAAACTTTATCACGACCGCCAGATCCGTTGTACAATGAATATACAACACTTTCGTTCTGTTCAACCAACCGAGAAAGCTGTTGATAGCAAGTCCTTGACAGGAACAACACATAGTGGGGTCATACTAGAACGGACGATGGTTATGCTGTCGGTTGCAAGAGCCTTGTGACTACAACTTGCTGCGACCCATTTGATAGCTGACTCTCCAATGTGATAATGGTTACAATCCGATTTCTTTCCTTCTTTCTATCTGCGCTTTGTTTTCTAAAGCATTGTCAATTTCAGCAAAGATAACTACATCATTTCTCCTCAGTCAGATGTCTTGCACACTTGAAGTTTGCAAATTACATCTTGTTGAGTAGTACATGAACGGGTCTTTCAGTATTAACGACTTCAAGCAGTCTTCCTTTGTTTCCGAGATCAATAATTGTTGTACCAAGAAAGCAACACCGTGCAAAATCTTTGTGACCAAGCATGAGCTGCATTCTACAGATATTGGTATATATAAAATGTAGACCTAATAAAAGAGGAAGAAACTTTTACAAACGTGAATCGAAACATATAATAGGCGCCACCATTATGAATTTGCTGAATGACACTACATTCAGAAAATGATTTACTGTACTTGCAAGAAAGCTGTATTTAAGAGAGATAATGAGAATAAAATAGCCGAAACCTTGTGCCCAAACTTTACTATGCAGTTACAAACAGAAGAATTATACAACATTTATCGACAAGAGAACTAAAACACTTTTCCAAGCTCTACTTTATGCTTGAAAGCTTTTGATGACTGGTATAATAAAGCATCAAGCAAACTAGCGACGGTAAATACTCCACCAATAATCGCACACAAATTGGTGAGAAAATGGGCCAAAGATCTAAACAAATTAATAGATTAGGCAATATCATAAACATTTCTTTATTTGTGGATAGCCAAATTTAGGTGTGATAATCAGAGCTGCAAGAAAAGCATCTCCTAGATTAAATTTTTGGCAAATTTTACAAAAATCACCACAACATTGTATACATGCCGAAACCATGCACGAAGAGCAACATTATCAAAGAATCCACAAACAAGTTAAGGACGACAACTGGGGGCATCGCAAAAGCATGAAAAACATCTCAGGAGGTTTAATATAGAACGGCAATGACAGCGGAGTACCACTCTTGGGAGCTAAATTTTCTCCTTACTTGAAGGGAAGCGACAGGAATTGAAAATACTGAGAATCCAAAAAACTTAGCTCTTTCGGCTGTGCATCGGAACCATTTGAAAAGTTTCCTATAGCAGCTGCGAAACTGAACTGCGGGCGTTGGAAATAAAAGGATGAAAGCTTTTGCAACAAATACAATGCTAATTTTAAAGTTCTCCTGCTTATTCTATGCATTTACACGACGTATCGCACCGTTTTCTGCTTCAAGCAGCCTAGAGGCCTGCTTAAGCATGCGAAGGCTCAATGGCATTTGAGCACCTGCAATGCATTGGCGCAAAAGAGCAAACCCTTTGTTGCATGACAAAAAAAAACATGATATACATCAACGAATATGCATCGGTCAGTAGGCACATCTAGGAGAAAAATCCGAAGTGGCAGAAGAATGTTATTCTTATCAGCGGCATTGAAAACAAGCAGTTTGCTAGCAAATTCCTAATATCGAGTTTATTCTTGGCATATATGCCAATGGATGTATGTCGGTGTTTGAACACGGTTTTGTTTGACCTAACAACGTAATGCAGTTAGCTCCCATGCAATGCAAGTGCTACTATGGAGCCGTGGCTTGCTTAAATGGTCTCTTAGGTCACTAGAAGAAAGAGGACGGTGCGCTACGTCGTATAACCACGGAAAAAGAAAGGGGAGAATGTTATTCTTACCAGCGGTATCGAAAACCAGAAGTATGTTAGCAAGCCCATAGTATCGGCTATATTTTTGATGCCAATTTTTATGGTATCCTCATTCATGATTTAAGTTCCCCTTGTAAAAAACAAGAAATGGAAAGGAACAGCCATTGGCGACGACTGGCTGTTAAATGTAACAGCGCAATAAGGCTAAAATATTGGACACAGCAGATAAATCATTTCTACGCAGTGAAATATTCTGTAAGACTGAACTTTTAATAGACTATTGCCAGTTCATTCAAATTTTAAACCATAAACCTATAATCGATCAAAATATACTTCAGGCATCATGTCAGACGATGATGGATAAAGTAAGATCTGAAACTGCCAGGAAAGATTCTTAAATACAGGCCTGTAACATCTCATTTTGTCATTGATCGTAGTCTTCTTCGAAAACTAGACTATTCGGATAGAAATTCATTAGAAAAATACTTTTGCTTTTCTGTAAGTTGAACCATTAGCGGGGAAAATTCGTATGAAACAAATAATCCAGGAAGACCCTCTGTAGACTGCGCGGTAACAGGTTTCTGATGCTCAGTCACAGAAAACTGATAGGTCATGAGCACATTCTAAAATATACGTAAAGCAATAGCTAAGACGGTTTTGCAAACAATCACCTTTTTAGAATCCACGTACATTGTTGGCACAATCTTCAGAAAATACTGAAACATGGTTCCCCCTGAAAAGACATTCTTTTAAAATTCAGATGCTGAAAACATGAACCTTACAACTTCAAAAAAATGTTGCACTAGCTTTACCTATTATTACTGCGATAAGGTTTCACCGATCATATGAGAGATCATAATGAACCATTAATCCAACACTTTAGCAAGGATGAATGCAGGTAATCGCACACGAGATCGTGTTTAGTATACGCAAAAAGCAGTCTAACAAGAGCCAACTTAAAAGCAAAAGTTTCGCTGCATCTTTTTTCACGAGACAAGCGTTTTATGAAACCGCTGATTACTATAATGGCCAACGTGAAAAACAGCTTTAATTATGCTTTGCTTTGATTTAGATTCAGCGACCTGTTTGTTGCCCATTCTACAACACATAAACGACGACAGAGATTTTCGACAGCAATGTGCGATTTAAACCATATGACAGTATATAATCAACATATCTATATATGAACAATATCGAGAAAGAATATCTGCATTAGTTTTATTTATAATATACCTTTAGCAATCTCTAAACAACTCTACTGGGGTTTCTCGCATTTGCAATGGTTTACCAAGAGAACCGCAGTTAAGACGCTAGGAGCGAAAACGACTTGAACAAAAAACACTAAGACAGTTGCAAGAACAAGAAATACTATAACACTAGAAAAATCATAATTTCAGACATGAAAACTGTAGACAATGAATTATAAATAGTGAAGAATGTTGCTCTTTGAGAATTTAAAACCACAATTTTTGGAATGTTTCTGGATATTACTATGTTAGTCGGCAAATACCTAGGAATAATAAACTGCGAATTGCTCAATTTTCAACTCATGCAGATTTTGATCTTTCTTGAAGCCAATGATGAATTGTCCAACAGTTGGACAAGGCATTCGTTCATGGCTTACAACTGCATTGTTGGTTCTCTGTAGGACTGCATCCCGTGCGCTGTACTGGATTACGGACCAAGACGCTCCCAATCGGAAACTTCATCCCGTTGGCTACAGTATTTTAACTCCTCGATGTCTCTGATCGCTAAAAACATTCTGATACTAGAGAGAAATGACCATAAAAACGAATCACCTTATGAACTTACTCCTCAACGAAGCACATGTATTTGTCACGCTTGAAAGCATGAGCTGGAACACTGGTAATGTTAGTATGTTACTCTACTAAATCAGGCTTCCTGACATCATGGAACCACTTGTCCCTCATGTTTATGAAAAATTTACCGCCACCATGAATTCACGGTACATGCTGTGTAAATGCATCGCGCATCATTTAATTGACTTGTATAATGCCTTGCTCCCTACTGCTTGAAAAGCTCGTACTAATTCTACTGTTTCTCATAAGACTACCGGGAAGATGATGCTCTACTCAATAAAATGCTAAACGCAGTAATGCCCCGCTTACGGTAGATCATGAAATTGCGACCTAATTTAATAATCGCCTGGGCGATTAGGAGCAAGGCTGCGCCCCCATAAAGTCAGGAAAGCTGCCTTAAATTTAACGTTTGCTACGCTCCTAAACACATGACGCTGAAAATTTTGTCTGTTTTATCAGCTTCTAATAACATTCTACAATCTGGAGCTGTCGGGTTTAAGAACCAGTTTTAAACGTTTATGTTGAGACTATAGTGACATTAAATCGAATATTCAAAACTCTCATCCTATTTTCCAATGATTACCGGAAAAAATAACTCAAACCTCAAATTCTAAGGAACGATACGAACGATATACGGAGGGCTGATGAAATCACAATGATGCAGACCAGATCAATGGTATACAAAGGTAAAAAAAACTCGAGTACAGTTAACCGAACCTACGGATCAAAAACGGTAGGGAGTGACAGACATTGATTGTTTTGCGGCGATAGTCAGTACGCAAAAAGGTTATTTTTGCGCGCAAAGTTAGTGCTAGACTGGTTTAAACTATTCTGTAAGCGCTATCGTTAAAGTTGTTTTTAGAAAAAGAGTTACATTTTACCAACTCAGCCATCCTGCCGATTCCAAACCCGGACGAGAAAGGACGACGGTTGAGGACTGTGTCGAGGTCTCCCGTTAAACTTAGCCACCCGCCCCTCACGCTATTTCTGTCATAGAAAATTATACCGGCTCGGTCGTCGCCTGGGTTACCAAGGGCCGCGCAGGCTGTTGAGGGACTGAAGCAGGCTGGGGAAAAGTCGGCGGCGATCAGAACCTGCTCATCGTCTTCAGGCAACGGAGGGCGTAGCAGCATTACAACGGCTGCCGAAGGAGTACCTGAAGGTGACGAAAGCAGCAGTCAGCAACTGAGTCGTTAGCTGTTCCGAATGGAGAAGGCAGAAAACGCGATGCCTTTATAGCAAGTCATATACGATTCCACGGCAACGATATCGAGAGCGAGAGATCATGGTCAGAAATTGCTATATCTTACTTAGAGGAAGGAGCAGTAGCTGGTAGGAGGCTGAATAGACGGATTACGGCTTGATAAAGCCATGAAGTAAAGATTGGATATAGTTGGACTCTCGAATTTTGAACCTCTGCTGGTGGAAGTTATTCTCTAGGTGTCCTCTCTATGACCCGTGCTCATACCGGTATTGGCGTATTGGTACCGGTATTGGTAAAACACAACCTGATTGGCAGGATCATTGAATTGAAGCTTATCAGCAGAAGAGTACACGCCTTCCAACTGAATTTGAAAACATGATAACCTCTGACATTGCTGCAGGTGTTTGCGCCGAATTCAGAGGAAGTAGGTGAGTCCTTCCTGGAGAAAATAGAAGATGCTCTATACGCAGTGCCGACTACGCAATCCTTCATTCTAATGGGAGATTTCAACCAATATGTTCTAGCAGACACTGAAAAGTGGAAAGGCGTGATTGGAGAGAACGGGCTCTAGTGACCTCACCAATAACGGCATGAG